GAACAAACTGGTGAACCATCTGGAAGCAAGCAGCTTCCTGGTCACTCGTCCCTGTGTATTCTAGCAAAATAGGTTGCCAGGCTGCAGTGTCCTCTGTTTGGAGGAAGCCAAATGAGCTGAAGGGCTGTATACCTACCAAGTTTATTCTGTGTGGATTGATTCTGTCCAAGAAAAGTATTACACGAATGAATGAATAACAAACACTAATGACTACTGAAAATAATATGAGTCCAAACATATGATTGACTTTTTCTTTGGAAACATGGCAGTTATTTCCTAAATTTTTCCATCTTCCTACCAGCTAACTGTCATTCATTTCTCCAGATCCATTCCATGGGTACTGTTCTCTTTAGCCTAGTTTTTAGTTAGGATGCATTTATATACATAAAAATATAAATTACTATTTTCTCAACCAACTTTTGAATGTTCATATATACCAGCTTCTATCTTGGTGGTGGGAATACTTAAAATGTGATGATAATTCCTAAATGTATAATAGGTAAAGAATTCTACCAAAGCCCTTGAGAGGACTACCTCACCAACCTGGGCCAGGCTTAGTGGATTTCTCTGAATGGGTGAAGCAAGAATTTTCCAAGTTAAAAAGAAGTAGAGTGAGAGAATAAAAATCCTGGAGGGATAGTCAGTGTAAACAGAATTTTACAAAAGAATTGGTATGTGCCAAGAAATGGAAGTAAATGTTTAATCAAATAGTGATGATTTGTGCTATTATAAGGGCATTTTAAAATTATTGAGGATGTTCTATAAAGTTGTAATAATCAAGACATAATGGTATTGGCAAAGGAATAGACATATAGATCAATGGAACAGAAAAGAGTCCAGAAATAGATTCAATTGATCTTTGGCAAGGAAGCCAATTTAATTCAATGGAGAAAGGATGATTTCTCAAAAACTGGTTCTGAAACAACTAGATGTCCAAAGCAAAAATTTGAATCTGGACAGTGACTTTATACTTTTGCAAATATTATCTCAAAATGGATAATAGATGTAAATGTAAAGTGAAAAACTATGAAATTGCTAGATGATAACAGGAGAAAATTTACATGGCCCTGGGATTGGGAATGAGAGTAAGTGTAATGTTGACTGCATGATCCATGAAAGGAAAAATTGATTAGGTTGAATTTCATTAAAATTATAAAACTCAGCAAAGGACATTGACAAAGACAGTGAGAAGATGAGGCAAAAACTGGGAGAAAATATTTGTGAAATGTGTATCTCATAAAGGACTTGTATCTAAAATATATTAAGACCTCTTAACATTTAACAATAAGTAAAGAAACAATCCAGCTTAAAAATGAGCAAAATATGAACACTTTACTAAAGAATATATGTAGATAACAAGTAAACACGCTCAAAAATATTTGACCTCAGAGGACTGTGAATTAAAATGAGGCCTTTACACACCTAATAGAATGACTAAAATCCAAAATGTCGACAGTACCATCTGTCAGCAAAGATGTGAAGTAAAAGGAACTCTCATTCATTGCTTGTAGGAATGCAAAATTGTACAGCCACTGTGAGGACAGTCTGTCAATTCCTTACTAAGCTAAACACATTCTTACTGGATGATCTTGCAATTGTGCTACTAGGTATTTACTCACATGAGTAGAGAACTTATGTCTAGAGGAACAGTTTATTCTTTCAGCAGTAATTGTCAAACATATGTGTCCCAGCTACTTTACTAGCACTCCCTAGCTGTACGACATTGGGCAAATAATTTAATTTGGTTGAGCAATTGTTTCCCTATTTTAATTGTATAAATATCTACCTTATCCATTATTCTTGCAAAATTGTGGTGAAAATAAAAAGTGTGTCAGTATAGTAAGTGCTTTGAAAAACCAAAATTCATTATTTAAATATAAGATTTCATATATTATTAACAGTAGTATATACAAACATCAAGTAGAATGAGGTTTGAATCTAACGGAATAACATCTGTCCTTCAAAACTGCTAGAGCAGTCAGGAATTAAGAATAGAAAGTGAGGGCTGGGGATTTTAGCTCAGTGGTTCTGCCACCTGCCTCGCAAGCACAAGGTCCCGAGTTTGATCCCTGGTACAAAAAAATAAAAATAAATTGAAAGTGAAATATGACTCAATATTTTGAATATTGAGGAAATAGGTGGTATTTCACCTATTTGAAATTCCAAAACTGTCTGGTACTAAGAGTAAGGAATGATATTGCGACACAGACACCTTATGTACTTTTCTCTCCCTGTTCCTGGCCTCACCCTAGTGTTCAGTAGATTTACACTCAATTTGACATTATCAGGAAATCTCGAAAGGAGCACAAAGATATTTGGTCAAGACTTTTTAGTAGAATGTAAAGGACTGTTATTAAATAGGTATATCTATTTGTTAATTGAGAGTGAAAAGGACTAATCTATATGTAAAATAAGGAAGAATTGGGAATCAATGAGAGGGAAGTCGTCACAAATTTAAATTAGTCTCCACAAGATAATCAGATACTATGGTTTAAATAGTCTCCTCTCCTGTATCAGTTACCTTTGTAAACATAGATTTTTGCATATGAGTTGTTTTCATGTTGCCTATGCTGGTGGTAATCGAACTTGTATGTCAAATTGACTGCTCCACAGAGCTCTAGACTCAAGCATTTAAAAACCTGCTAAACAACTTCAAGTTTTACAGGCATCTAAAACTTAACATGACTAAAAGAGAATTCTTGACTTTTCCTCTAAAATTTGTTTTTTCCTAGGTCTTCCCAATTTTAACAAATGACCATCATTCATTCATTAAGCCACAACTTAGTTATAACATTTTATTCTTCATTTGCCCTCCACCACAAAATTTACTCTGATTTTCTTGATTTACCTCCCCTGCTGTGACACTAGGCCACGTCACCATCATCTCAAATGTAGATTTCTTCCATGGCCTCTTATCAAGAGGTAATGTATTCTCTGCTTAAAGCCAAGGTGATCTTTTTGAAAACATGAAAGAAATGATGCCACTCTCTTTCTGAAAATACTACTATAACTTTCTATGACAATTACAATAAAAGCCAAACTGCATACCATGATCTATAACAGGACTGACATTCATCTAGAACACGCTGGAACAGCCATGGGAATTGTGTACAGACAGCACTAATTGGTTGTTTCCTATGCTACGTGAGTTAAGCATTTTGCTTATCACTCCTGCTTCTAAAGTTGTGCAAACCCTGGTAATTCTCAACCAAAGATCCTCAAATGTCTTAGAGAACATTTGGAGGTTCCTGGAGATATTTTGTGTTATTGAAGCTGTGGAAATGCTTTTGGCATGTATTGAGTAGGGGATAGGAGCAATGCTAAAAATCCTACAGCACCCTGCAACACAGAATTATTTGGTGCCACATGTCAGTAATATCCAAGCTGAGACACCCTGAGACAACCCTTTTAATCTGTACCACTCTCACCTGTATTCATTGTATTCCACTGGCCTTGCTGCACCTGCCAAAATCCCTGCTAGTCTCAGTGGCTCTTTATTATATTGTCTATTTAATATTTTTACCACAGCAATGAAATTATCTACAACTGCTTTGTTTAGTTATTTGCTGCTTCTTGTCTGCCCCTTCCACCTAGCATGGCAGCTGCCTGAAAGAAAGAAGTGTTTCTCTGCCCCAGAATGGTGAGCAGTGCCTCAATATTTGCTGAGTGCTTGTTTGTCCCCTACCTGTCCCTCACCCCTGCTAGGAACCTCATTTATTTCCCTCTACCATCAATCCCTGAGCCCTACTTTATCTCCAGTTTGCAAAGGGTGTGTAGCAAGGGTTAATGGTAAGTTGAGGGCATCTGTTTCACACATCACTCAGTAATAGAAACACTTAAAAAGTATATTGATTTGTTTTTTGGCCCTTGGAAAATTTTCTGTGAATCAGAATGCCAGTGTCATCAATGCCCCCAGCACCACAAACAAAGCAGCTTCAAAGGTCATGGTAGCCGACGCTGTACTTTTCTCCTCAGACAATGCAGGACAGCAAAAGAGCTGATTATATTGACTATTTGCTTTGGCATCTACTGCTTAATTTGACGTATGACTTTTTTGGTGATTGTTGTATAATTGTTATTGTTATAGAAGAGCCAAGTGCAATTTACTGTTATCACTATATAAACACCGTGAAGACTCTTCAGTTTATGAGAACCTCCCCACTTGGCTCTCCTGGTGATTTTAAGGCCCTCCTTCACTGGGCTGGCTCTACTGTACATCAACAATCATGGTATCATTACTTGACAATAAAAATCACTCAGAGACCCTGAATCATGAGTACAGTAAAGAGCTGAGCTAAGGTATAAATTGCTTTGAGTTAGTAGGTGAATTTGTTTTTGGACCTGTTTCAACATAGAAGGTACTGTTCTTCTAAAACTTGTTATCCTGTTTGGTTTGACTCTAAATCAAATATAGTGATGACTCTCGCTTCATGTGAGCCTACCTACCTACCCTGGTTTTAAGATTATCCCTTTCTGGCAATGATCTTAAGGCTCACACCCATGGTCTCACCGCTTGAAAATAAAACTTACTCAGGCATGCTGGATCATCAATACAGTAAAGATCTGGGCCTTTTCTGCTGGCCTTACTTTTCTGTTTTTATATTCTAAAGCATGTATTTAGTTCTCCTATTGTAAATAGTTTTATTTTGCTTTGAGAATATGGATTCGAGTTTCATTAGAAACCTTTCTAATGATATTTGAATGTCACCCCAAAATACTGTACAGTAGTAACTTGGAGAAGAAAGCAAGTGAAAGAGCTTTAAGGATTTACTCATTTTGTCTTTGAATTTTCTTAAAAGTTCCTCATTTTCTTTATTTAACTCAGTGTACATACAATCCATCAACTGTATGAGTATTTTCCAAGCTAATGCTTTTGTGTTATTTCCCTATTCAGCTCCAAACTTCCATATAATTGCAACGAAAGCAAAAAGCCATCCTGATGATTAGAGAGAAATTATTTGTGGCTCCTGGAGCTTTTACCCTCTGTTTTGTTTTTCTAGGATTTGGATGGTGTCTTCATCTAGACAGGAAGATCTGGCTGCAACTGTCATATTACAAAGCAAACTCTTCTCACTGAATTTGACTTCCCGTGTAATATCATGAGACTTGCCCTTGGTATGTCAATGACAAACATGGTGAGTCAATAAAGTTGTTTTCCCACTGGAGTTCTAGATTTTTTTCTAACTCTTGGTTTGGTTAATTAGTATTTTCCTTTCAAATAGTAGAGGTTTCATATTGCTGGTAGGCTTGGCTTTTGTGAATAAAAGATCCAGTAACCCTCAGATCCTAATAAACCCATGTTTTCGAAAGGCTTTGGGAAGCATAAATCGACATCTTGAATAACTGCCCTTTGGCAGAATGTCTCCAGAGCCTCTATTTGTGTTTTCTGAAAGATTTTTGTTAATAAAGACAGAAGAAAAAAATCAAAATTGTAATTATATTAGATTGTAGCCATTCTGTATTTTAAAGTTTTAGCCCACATTTCCTTTAGACATTCTCTCCCTTGTTGTGTTTTTTTTCCCAAAAAGTAAAGCAAGCAGATTGTTTTCAATGAACTACAAGTACCTCTTACTTTCAACTTTATTTTTACATCTAATTAATGTATTAACATGGTGAAAACATAAAATTGTTTAGACGTGCTTATAATGAATAGGATATGTCTTCAGGTAACTTTTTTCGGTACAAATTTGTGGGATCCTACACAGATGGGTTCCTTTCTAATCCAATCTGAGATGTGGCTTTCCTTTCCCTGTTTCACCCAATCCACTTCTATTCAGTGTATTTTCCTATAACATTGCAAGGACCATGTGCAGAACACACAGTTATCAGCTATTTAAATGGGTGCTTTCTTTGTTTTGCTTCCTTTCTTTTATAATCTTACCCTCATTCTTTTCCATCCATCTCTTCTTCAATTACCCACAGTATTGTTTTGATATGTCATATAGATATATAGATATATGCAGTCTTTTAGAATATGTATTTTTGTGTTAATCTTGAATTTATATGAATGGTAATGTACTTTCTTCTACTACTTTTCTCACTAGATTCTCATTTATTTTGGTCCTCACTTTTCCTTATGCTTTCTAATGTCTGGAAGAAGGCATCCACTCCTCTAACTCTCCATTCCTCTCACTTTCTTCCAGTATCTCACTAACATAGTGACCACCTGTGTACATGTCCTCTACAGACCTAGGTGACAGTTTCTCTGACATACATCCCAAGAGAGTGATTGCTGTGTTGCAGGTCATGTACATCATTCCATTTCTGTCTTTCATCTGTCTGCTGAAACTCATCATTCCACTCATAACCATTACCTCTCTCTTGTTCTCTTTGCAATGTATGTTTGGTTATTTTTTATTTCAATGTGATATTGAGAAAGAGGTGAATGTGTGTACTCAACTCAACATTTGAAGTGGAACTCAAACCATCTCTCTTTCAGTGCATTAGTTTATTTGGAGTGTGGCACAGGAGGAAAGAAGAGGCAGAAAGTGTGGAAAAGACTTTGCTATTGATGCTATTACCTAAGAAGAGGGACACAGATAAAATGAAAGATTGTATCTAATTAAAGCTAGGTTTTGGCAATCATCATTACTTCATAATTTAGAGGTCAAAATATGACTTCCCACCAAAAAGCATGGCAGTATTTCTTAACCCACAGGCCTGTTGCCTTAGCTGTTGCTTAGTTGCTTTCCACTCCAAGCCTATAGCCACTGAAGAAAACAGCAATTTCGTACTTCAATACTACAACATACTTGGCCACATAAGTGTTGTAAAGTCAAACAGTTTTAGTAGTTCATCTGATAAGACTTGTCCCTCAATTTCAGATGATTGTGTGATTGTTCTAAAGAGACAGTTTTGGGACTACGGCTGTGGAGTAAACAGAATTGTATTTTCTGGACCAGTCGATGAGGTAGCTGTGAGAGAGTGAAATCCAATTTGTACTTGAGTAAAGCCTGAGCAGGATTTTATAAAAATGTGAATGTGTTCCTATCAGATCTACCTGTATCTCAACAACATTTCCATGGCCATTTCAAAACTTTTTAAAATTAGAGTTCACTGTCAAGGATGTCTTCAGCTGGACTTGAACAGTCTTGGTGAAAAATAGCTGAGCAAACCTCAGATGCCAGTATTCAGCTGTTGTTTCAAAGTAGTTAATTTCTTTTCCATTTTTTGCATGCCCACTAAATTGTCCAAAGTACAGGTTACTACTCTACACTGTGTGGGAGCTGTCCCCACAGGCCTGCTCTGCCTTGTCCAGATGGACTTCAGATCCTCATAACTCTCTCACCGAGAGTAGTGATGGATTATGGATTAACTAGTGGTCAACTTGGTTCACTAATGGTCGGCTGAACTGAATCAGTGTAGTTTTAAGCACGGAAGACCAAACTGAGGGGAAAAAAGAGAACTTGGGGGGAAGATCATTTGCTGTTGATTTTCTCAGAGAAGCTTGCAGCGGCTGGTTTTCCTGATATGAACTCGGCTGTTCTCATTGTGGGAGGATCTTGGGTCCTTGCTGTCTCTGGGAATGGCTACTGTTCTCATCAGGGGAGCTCTGGTCTTCACCTTGAGCATCACTTTCTGACTGCAGTGCAGATCCCTCAGCCTGGTGGTACAGATGCTTTACCCCCCTGGAGCAGGCTTTCTAGCTTCCACCACTGACCTTTGGGCCTTCCCAGTGCCAATCCTTGATGCAGACTTGCATGAGACATGGCTGTGAGCTCTAGGCCTCTGGCTGGACACATGGAGGACACTGCCTTGGGCTATAGGTCTTTAGCTGGACTTGTGCAGGCCATTGCTGTGGGATCCAGGCCCTCGGCTAGATTCTCTGGGTCTCTAGTGTGTGGGCAGATCTCTTGTGCTCCTCTACATTTGACTTTTGGGATGAATATTATAAAATAATCCTCTAAATTATGTGTTTGGTGTTAAATTTATTCCCTTGCAAACCCTGGCTACAGTAGCAGAAGTGGAAGAGACCACCTGTGGAAGTATTGTGATCTTGGCTTACAAAATATCTGATTGGGAGTCATGATTTTGCATCATGTTACCTCAGTCTTTTTATCTCTGTGAGTAGTTATTATTGTAATGCAAGTCTCTCTGTCTCTTTAAAAAGCTGCCATGGCAACAGAAAGACTAAATAATATAGCTGGTGGTTAAAATGGTATCTGTTCCCAGTGTTATGGGCTAAATTCTGTGCACTCTCTTATCCAAATCATATGTTGAATCCTCACTACCTCAGGATGTTGCCCATATTGAAAATAAAGCCTTCAGGGTGGGCCCTAATCCAGTGTGCCTGACAGTGTTTTATAGGGAGCTGGTATCTGGACACAGAAGAAGAAAAATCACCAACATCACAGAAAGATGATCACATGAAGGCACAGTGACACCTGCAAGCTATGCCAAGAGAGGCCTTAGTAAAAAGTGAAGCTTACTGACTCACTGCATCTTGGACTTCCAGCCTTGGAATCAAGAGAAAATGCGCTTCTGTTGTTAAGCTACCCAGGCTTTGGTACTTGTTGTAAGAGCTGTGGAACACTAATACATGTGTTCTGCTCACTTAGATAATTTTTATTTGAAACAATGTTATGTGGATCTTTGTGCCTGACTACAAGTATTAATATATTTCATTCTCATAACTTGATGACATAGATGCCCATTTCACAGAGGAGGAAACAGAACCAGAGAGGGATTGAAAAATTTGCCTATTATCTCACTGTAGAGATGAGACACACACACAGGCTTAAGATTCCTTGCTACAAATTTTAAATTCAGTTTTGCTCAGATCCCCCTATTTAAGGGATTGGATATTGACTTAGAGACTATCATAAACTGAGGGCCTATGTGTTGAAGCTGTTTTCACAACTTAAGCTGTCTTTCTAATATCAGTGAAGCTATTGTTTGTGGTAGATGTCTAAGGTGTTATCCTCTCCTCTCGTCCCTCCATCTCACATATCCATTGTTGGGGATGCCATGTGCCAGCATGACTCTGAAATTGCCCCTGATCACACTGGAATAGCCAGAGTAGAACTCCCAACTCAATTTGATCTTTGAATTTCTTCCCAGAGAGTTCATTTAATGTTCCTTTAGCACCTACAACTGTGACATCTGAAAATTAAGTGTTCTATCAACCATCACCCATGCATTTGATTATGAGTAACAAAAGTGATGAACGGGACAAAGCGGAGGAGCAGGGAGATTTTCAGCAGAGTGTTCACATCCCCAGTTCAAATTGTTTCTTGTCTCCAGCTGCATCTTTAAGCCTGAGTTTTATAAAGTACTCTGATATGGTTAAAAATAAGATTTTCCTATCCACTTAGCCAATTTAAGTTAGTTTCAGCATGTGGTTATAAAAGCAGCTTATCTATTACATCTAATTCCCAGTATCCTTGCTTTCAGTTGCTGAGTGCTCCTTTCTAAAGGACGGAATTTCTATTCCAGCCATACAGACTTGTGTCAAATTTGATTTCAATTTCTTTCTGAAAATTTTTAGCACATAGTGGAAAAAAGTGCAATGAATACTGATTTGTCAAGTAATCTCCCCTTGACTGACTCTGAGTGTGGCAGTGGAGAAGGTTTCATTAGCCCCTTTGGCTTTAGGAAGGAAAAGGATGGCCTGGGTGTTCTGTGATGATGTTCCATTTCTTGATACTTACTGTCTTAGTCTACTCAAGTGACATTCTCAAAATATTATAGACTGTGTTGTTTAAACAACAGAAATTTACTTTCTCAGCTTTAGACCTTGGAAATCCAAAATCAAGGTTCGTACGGGATTCAGTTCTGGAGAGTGCTCTCTTCCAGGACTGCAGATGAAGCTTCTTGCTGTGTCTTCACACAGACAAGTGAATAGAATGAGTTGTTTGGTTTACTTTGTATAAGGTCACTGTAATACTGTAATGGTTTATATCTAGATGTCTCCCCAAAGCCTCATGCACTCATAGGTGGGGCTTTTGTAAAGTGACTAGATCATGGGTGTGTGCAACTCATCCCTAGATTAGTCCACTGATATGTTTATAGCTGGGTTTGATGCTGAGAGGTGAGGCCTGGTGGGAAGAGGTGGTTCACTGTAGGCATTGCCTGGAAGGTTATACATCCCTCCTCCTCCCTTGATCCCTCTCTTCTTCCTGACTAGCACACAATAAGCAAGCCTCCTGTGCCATGCCCCTTTGCCATGCTGTCCTGCTTTGGACTGAAACTTTTACAAATGGTGAACCCAAAACACTATTCCTCTTTTAACTTGTGAGTGTTGAATATTTTGTTCCAGCAAGAAGAAAGTGACTAAGATAGTCACTAATTCTTTAGCATCAGGATGTTCTTTTTGTAATTTAACCTTTAATTACTTCCTGGCTCCTAAATACAGCCACACCAGGGATTAAATTTTCAACTCATGAACTTCGCAGATGCTTAATGCCATCCATAGCATTCTCCTAATGTGGAGTTATGTGTTTCATGAAGCTTTGTAAACTATGTGTATCTGTTCAACAAATATTGGTCAGTATCTATGTTTCAGGCTGTGGTAGAAGTGGAAGTAAAATCGGAAAAATATAAGTTTTCCCCCTAAGGAGTTCTCCATGTGGCATGAGAGGCAGATAACTAAGCACATAGCTATTGAACATCTAGAAAGATCTAGAAAGGGTCTCTGTAGGGCAAAGGGATGGTGGAGGAATGCATAGGATGGGGCATTCAAGAAAGATGGCACTGAGAAAGCAATGCAGGGGAAGTTACATGAGCTTCTCAGGAGGCATCCTCAGAAGATGGACAGGAGCTCATAAGATGGAAGATTCAGATAGCAATACACACAAAGGCAGTGCAAATGGGATAGTAGAGTGAATGATACAGCTAAATATTGTTACTCAGCAGAGGGAGAGGTAGCTGATAGGAGAAGATGCTTGAGACTAAGCAAGAATCAAGTCAAGGAAGACCTCTGTAAGTTGCAGTGGAAACGAGTTTATTTAACAGACCTATGATTCTCTAACTTTGGTGCATGTGAAAATATCCTAAGGAGTTTATTAAAATTCTCATCCCTGTGTCTTGTCTCCAGAAATTTTGATTTGATAGGCCTACCATGGAAGCAGAAGAAATCCTCTTTTTATGTATAACTTTATTATCCTTCACTAAACACACATACATATACAAAAATTAAAATTATTCAAAGAAAAGCAATACAAGGGAAAAAACCCTATAATAATATTCAAATATAATCAAACTCAACCAAAGCAAAACTGAAAAGTACTTAAATATTTTTCCATATAATTTTTTAAAAATCTCAAGAATTAACAAGACATCAGATGAGTGATTTGTTTTACAAAGATTTTCAAAACGAATATTGAACAAACAGTGGTTTGGAGAAAAAATTCTAATTAGTAGACTGCACATGGGCCAAATTTTTTAAATTTAAATTTCAATACAGTCATGTGACACATGATGGAAATATAATCTGAGAAATATGTTATTAGGCAATTTCATCCATGTGTATTGCAAAGTACCACACACAGTGCCAACTTGTAAGTGCAAACTGAGAAGGTATACGTCAATCATCTGTGATGGCCTCGATATTATCCACATACGCAGTTAAACACGAGACACATGAGGCTACCACTGGCATAGCAGCACACTGTTTTACAGTAAACTCTTTTATATAAGTAGGATTATGCTCTAAAGGATGAAAAGCACAGCATGTTATGATAAGTACTTAAAACAGTAACAGTCATTTATCACACTATCGAGTACTGTGTAGCGTACATAGTTGTATGTGCTTCTTCTGGAAACACACCCTTCTCTCCTTTGATCTCAGTGACTCTTCCTTCCCACCCACTGATGACCTCCAGCCTAGTCTCTATCTACATCTCTTCCTATAGTTTTAAACACAAGCTATATATGGATGTTTTCCAGATTCCAGCCTGTAACTCTGATCTCTCCCCTTCCCCTCCTGCCACCCCTACCCCTTTGAACCTTTTCTTCATATTTCAAACTATCCATTATTCATTTTATAGCTAAATGGTTGCATATTGAGGCCATCCTCTTAAGTGAAATAAATAGGACACACATGTGTAAATACTGAATAGTTTCTCTAGTGCGAGAAACTGAAAGTGTAAGTAAGGATTAAAATGATTAAAATGAGTAAAAGAAATCCTTTTTTATTGAAGGTCCTTAGAGTGATTCTGAGATCAATGCTCCATGGAGAAACACTGAGAATCACTGGCCTAGAGGATGAGAAGTTTCTTAAGAGTGGAAGTAGTATGACCAGATTGTGTTGACTAGAGAAAGAATGAAAAAAGGAAGTGAAAGAAGTGTCAGAGCAACCATGGGGGCATTTTACTGTGAGGGACAAAGGAGAGATGACAAGGGCATAGCAGAAGCTATTGAGAATGGACAACCTGACAGATAGGTGGGAATAGGGTTGATTATTAGTGACACATTAACTTTAGGGAATGAAAAGCAGATATCTGGCTTAGGTAACAGTATCAGAGTAAAAGCAGATTTTGAAAGCGAGTGAGTTCAGTCCTGAAATTTTGAGATTTTTGAAAGAGAATGAGCTCAGTACAGAAATTTGGAGTTGTATAAATCATGCCATTATTTTATTATTAGAGAATGAGAGTAAGTTAAGTATAGTGGTTAAGAGCATAGACTGCCTTGGTTTACATTCTGCTTCTAATTCTGCTTCTACCACTTACCAGCTTTGCGACTTGGATAGGTTATTTAAGTTTTCTATGCCTCAGTTTCCTCAAATATCAGTCAGATTTAATTGTAATTCTTTCCCCACAGGATCCTTATGAAGATAACTAAGTTATATTTATTTGTAAAACAGTTAGATGAATGCCTGGCGGACAGAAAGTACTAAAAGATAATTAAGAAATAATAACATTTGATTAGTGTTATGGGTATGAACTAAGAGTCTCTATTGTGCTTTGTGTCTCACCCTCACATTGACATAAAGAAATAGTGGTGAGTACAGTAGTTTATTTGACAGATTGTTTGTTCTTTGATTTTATTTTGCAAAGTAGAAGAGTTGGGTATTAACAGCCCAAGATATCCAGAATTCCTTCCCGTGGTCTCTTAAAGGAACCACCAGTCCCCCTCACGCCCCAGGCCCAGAAATGTTCTGGGATTCAAGCTCAAGGAGGGAAATAAGGGTTATAAACCAGTGCTAAGCCTTAACTTTCTTTTGAGCCCCATCATCACTAATGGCCAACGAAATCCAGATGTGAAACCCAGAAAGCAGCACAAGGCAGAGTTTTCTCCACCAAATGCAAATTATGTCTATGGGTAGGAAGGGTACTGAGAGTTAGGCTCAATGACACAGAAGTGGTGAACCACACTAGCTTGATTATTTCTTAAAGGTGTTTATGAATTATAATACTGTTTTATCTATAATGTACAGAGAGGTACAGTGGAAGATAAACTGACAGTGTAAACTTCTGGTCTAAAGAATTTTAACTGGCAGAGTTCTGTGCCCATAAGCCATTATATAAATTGTTGTGTGATATTCTGAGTGGTGGAAACCACAATAAGCTTTCTGTGCTATCCAATTTTATTTTATTTTTTCCTGATATATTTTTGAAAAGTGATTGTCTCAGCAGAAATATGAATTTTTTTTGTGTGACCCCTTTGGATCTGGTGGAAAGCATATTCTATCTGTCCTTCTCTTTATCCAATTGTGTCATAGGGCTATTATTATAATATGATTTTAGGTGAGGTATTTTAAAATTCAATAGTTAAGGGGAAGTTTGGGAAGAGAAAATTGTAAGAGGTTTTGTGCAAAGGAAGTCATAAAATAAAACAAATTATCCCCAAACTTTGGAGTAGGTGCCCTTTACCTTTGTGACATGATTTTACTGCTCACTCCCACTTTTGCTCATTCTCCATGATTCTTAAAAAGAATCTACTATTCGGAAAAATTTTGACAAAATAAATCTCGTATTTAACAGGTGATTAAGTGAATGGGAAAGTTTAATTATTTCCCTTTACCTGTGAATTTGCATTTTAACACTTTGTAATACATTGTATAACTCTTTAAGTGTATGATTCTAGACATGATAGTCAGTGCAAGAGTAGGACAGCATTGTTTTAGATCTAGTGCTCTAAATCCTGCTTAGATCACTTTCCAAGTGGGAGTGTAGAACAGAGCAATCTGTGAGGCACCCTGTCTGTAGCAAGACAGCACTGAGACAGGCCTAAAAATGCATCACAGAGGACGTGTTTCGTTAGTCACTCTCAGAGCAGTGTCTTTAGAGGGAGAAATGGCTCTCTCTCCTACATCCAACACAATCTTCTGAATGCTTCCTCTAAAAGTTTGTGCCTCCAAAAGTCATTTCTGTCTAGAGTCAATGAATTAGGCATAGGAACATGGTTCTTCTGATATCAGCCCCCAACAAGCTAACCTAGAAAAGGTCTGTTAAATTCCTCAACTTCTCCCCAGAGAGGGTTAACCTCACTTGGGCTTATTATGAAAGCTGTGAAACAAGAAGGAATTTTAGCAGGAAAATATGGCTTCTTTGAATAGAGGCAAAGTCATTTAGGAAGCAAAGGCTACTGGTTTTAGTAAGTGAAAGATTTTACATGTTTTTCAACTTAGACGTGATTTTTTTTTTTTTTTTTTTTTAGTTTTTTCCATGTTAAGGTCTCAATCTTACCATAGGGCACACATATAGCGATAATATCAGTGATTTTAGCATGTGGACTGCTAAAAACAATCTATATATGCAGAATTTTAAAACACCTGGTCTATTTTTTAAACCATATCTGGAGGTGAACATACCCCATTATTATGGCTTGTGTCAAGATAGCCCCCCCCGCCAAGCCTAATGCAGTCATTGGTGGGGCTTTTTCAGAAGTAGCTGAATCTTGAGTGTGTGACTGATTCATGCTGCAGTGTTAGGATGAAGGGTGCTAGGATTAAGGGTGGGTGATTACTAAATCAGTCCACTGATTGGTTTGGGACCACCCAAATCCTGGTAGCCTGGATACAGTGTAAGGGACAGAAAGAGGCTTGTCTTCTCTCTTCTGTGCTTTGGTACCTTCTGCCTGTCACAAACTGTTTCTCCTCTGCAATACCTGTCTGCTATGCCAACCTGTCTTGGAGCCAGCTGATTATGGACCGAAACCTCTACCAACTGTGAGCTAAATAAATCTTTCCCCCTTTATCTTTGGGTGTCAGTTGTTTTGTCTCAGCAACAAGAAAGATGTAACTAAGACACCTATCCTGGACTTCATGGTACCTCAAACACCTGCAAAGAACAGGCTCTAGTGTAAGCAGAAAAATTGCCTTACGTATCCAACTCTTCTTTTTAATTTTTTTTATTTTGGTGCTGGGGATTGAACTCTGGACTTTGAGTTTTCGAGGCAGGCACTGGAACCACTGAGCTACATCCCTTGGCCTTGTAGCCATCTCTTTTCATCAATGTGTTGTGTACTAGTCCTTGAGAACACTTAGAACAACAATCATCCACCCAATGTGAATTGTCCACTTCATCAATGTGCCATCACCCACAAAATGTGATCCCATCTCTAGGTAATGTTTGCATCTGTCACTGCCTGAGACTCTTTGGCTCTCTTGGTTTGTGGAAGGTTGGTGGGGATAGAAAGCGAGGAGATGCCTAGGTCAGGAGAAGACTGAGGTCTGATGAGCTAGTAGGGCTCCACCTATCCTCTCTGTCATCCCTTGTTGTAGGCAAAATAATGCCTTTGCCAAAAGTGTCCACATCAAATCCTGGAATCTGTACATGATAAAGGAATTGTACAGATGTGACGGTGGCTAAGGACCTTGAGAAGGAGGAATTATTTTAGAATATTTGGATAGAATTACTCAAACCACATGAGCTTTTAAAAATGAAAGAAGTTGTAAGAGTGAATCAAAGAGATGAGAAGTGCAAAGGGCTTGTCCACTCATTCCTGGCTTTAAAGATGATGGAAGGGGCCATCAGTCAAGGAAAGCAGGTGACAGATAGAAGCTGGGACAGCCTTCCATCCACAGCCAGCAAGAAATTGAGAATTGCAGTCCCACAATTGACAAGATTTGAATTCTTCTAGCAACTTGGATGAGCAAAAATGGATTGTTTCCTAGAGAGGGACATAGCTTAGGATACCTTGATTTTAAAATGTAAGATAATGAGTTTGTATTAGCTTTAGTCAGTAAGTTTATGGCAGTTTGTTATATTAGTGATAGGAAATGAATACAACTCTTCTGCTGTCTGTCCTTTCTGATGATCACTTCCATTTGCGTCTCCTCAGTTATTCCTCTGGCCTGTTTAAATATAACAGTGGCATCTTTTAATGATTGCTTAAAGTATCCAAGGTGTTATGATAAATATGCTACCTGTGTTATTATTTTTAATTTTCACAACACTTGAAGTGGATACTTTTATTTTACCCAGTTTACAGACATCCAAATGCAGGCTTAGAAAGGGTAACTGCTTAGTCTTACATTTAGTTAAATAAGCGGTATGACCAATATATACATCGGGAATACTTTAACCCTAGGATTCAAATAAAGTTGGCTGGAACTGACAGGTTCCCAGCCTGTGAAAATCCAAAGCCCTTCCCAGAAATTTGGTTATGTATTACTCTTACCTTCTTTTGATAGATAATGTAATACAGAAGATGTTTGAGAAAGGGTAGAGTTAACTACTTTCTTTCAAAACTTGAACTCAGGGCATAAAGCAACTTTCACCTGAAGTTCTGCCACAAATACAAACATTTATTAAACAATCACTCATTAGCATGAAGGCAAAACATAGTTCATAAACTTATAAATTTGTGAGTTATAGTATTTTGCCTTTTGAGGTGCTCCAACCCCATCCTGTACAAAAGGCTCACTAAAGAAGACATCACAATTCCAGGGAGAAGATTCTGTTGCATTTTGAGGGGGCATAGACAACCATAAATTTATCTAAACTAATGGCTATGTTATGATGGTCAATTTGAAGTGTCAAATTGTCTAAACCACAGGGTGTCCAGATGTTTGGTCAAACATCATCCTGAGTTGCTCTGAGAGTTTTTGGATGAGATTAGCATTTAAATTGGTAAACTAGGGCCGGGGATTTAGCTCAGTGGTTCTGCCGCCTGCCTCGCAAGCACAAGGACCCAAGTTCGATCCCCGGTACCAAAAAAACACCAAAAAACAAATAAATTGGTAAACTGAGTGAGGCAATTGCCTTGCCCAATGTGGATGGGTCTCAGCCAGTCACTTTAAGGCCTGAATATAACAAAGAGTTGATCTTCCCTCAAGTAAAGGAGAATTTTTCCTGCCTGATAGTGCTTGAACTGAGAAATTGGCTTTTTCTTGACTTTGGACTGGATCTAAAACACTGCAACTTTCTAAATCTCTAGCCTGCTATACTTTGGACTTGAACTATACCACTGGATGTTTAGCTTGCTGATCACGCCACAGATCTTAGGGTTGTTGGCCTCTATAATAGCATGATCCCATTCTTTATAATAAAAAATCATTTCCCTCTCCTTCTCTTAAATATATGTGAAACAGAAATGTGATACAGCTGCCATCCTCAAGGGTTCAGGCTACTGTCCTCACCAGACTTTTATATATTTCTGTTTCAAAGTAACAAAGTACCACAAACTGGGTGTCTCAAAAACAAGAGAAAGTTATTCTGTCATAGTTCTGAAGAGTAGAGGTCTGAAATCCAGGAGTCAACAGGGCCATGATCCCTGTGGATTTCTAATAGAATCCTTGTTTACCTCCTCCCAGCTTCTGGTAGGGCATCTTATATCCTTACCATTACTTCACTTGTTGCTACACAATTCTAATCCCTGCCTCCACTTCATGTAGTGTTTTTCCTAGATATTTCTCATTGTACTTCTTAAAATGACACAAGTCATATTGAAAATGCTCACTTTACCTCAACTATTACATCTACTCTAAATAAGATACAAATAAGGTATGGGGCAGGGGTAGGATTTCAGCATATCTTTTGAGGGAATCCATAATATTTATTTATGTAGTATTTCAGCCAATTCACATATATTGAAGACACTGTAATTTCACCAGTAAAACACTTCAAATAATTCACCATGCTAATCAACCTATAGATTTCAACAAAAAAATCCACATTTGATGTGGTAATTGTCAGGATCACGCTAAAAAAGCTTCAAGCATTCATGGAGATACAAAAAGCTGTAATTACAAGCTAACTTACTACTCCTGTATTATTAAGAACATGCTTAGGTCAATAGTTCACCTCCAGAGTTGACATTTAAAATAAGCACTATATATACAGTATCACACAAGTTTATGCCAAATTCCTGCAAAGTAAATCATAGACATTGTGACATATTTTCTTTGCCATACATTGACTTGGCAGCAGATACATTTTTCCATCAAGAAATTCACAGACACAAAGCATTTCTTGCACTTGGTCAACACTAAGGCTGCTTTCCTCCTCCTCCTCCTCTTTCTTTATCTATTCTTTTTATCAAGAAAGACTTTCTTCCCCTTGTTCCCTGCTGTATTTTGAACATACTTTTGGGGTCTCATGCTTTACTCCCTAGCATTTCTCAAAGTACATCACTTCCAAACATATTCATTGCTCCACCTATGAATCTTATGATTGGTTTTGGTGTTCCTCTCCACAGAAACATTTTAGACCTGATCTTTCTGAACTCAGAGCCTGAGCTTTCAGTTATGACATTATACTGTATCACCTGTAGTAGACTATTTCACACCAAGTACAGTATGTCTATAAAACAAGTACAGGGGCCGGGGATTTAGCTCAGTGGTTTCGCCGCCTGCCTTGCAAGCACAAGGGCCGGAGTTCGATCCTTGGTACCAAAAAAAAAAAAAAACAAGTACAGTACAGAGTGCAACTGTTGCTAAGACTAGGGGTATTTAGTTAAAACTTGATCAACAGCTATTAATTCAAGAGCAGCTATACTAGTCAGTGGGTATTAGAAAAGAGATGAAATGTAATGCCAAACATTTGACAACACTTTCCAGTGATGATGTTTGTTTGTTTTTTTGGTACAAGGGATCGAACTTGGGTCCTTGTGCTTGCAAGGCAGGTGGCGGAACCACTGAGCTAAATCCCCAGCCCAATGAAATGTAAATACACTAATTTTGGGAAAGTCTTTGCAATTTATTTAAGTGAATTGGTTAGAAATATGTATACAGAATTTGAAATAACCTTAGAATAGTTTAAGCATTATATTGATAAATGGAATTTAAAGAAAGTCTAGGCTATTGTTCTTCCACTGAATAAATGATCACCCCTGCCCCCCCACCCCGGTACTGGGTATTGAACTCAGGGCTTTTGCACTGAGCTAGATCCCTAACTCTTTTTTGTTATCTTATTTTTTTGGTGCTGGGGATCGAACTCAAAACCATGCGCTTGAGAGGCAGGTGGCGGAACCACTGAGCTAAATCCCCGGCCTTCTCTAACTCTTTTTGAGACAAAGTCCTGCTAAGTCACCCAGGCCGGGTTAGAAACTTTTAATCTTCCTGCCTCAGCCTCCCAGAGTGCTGGGATGAGTAATTTTGAGTAAGCCTCTATACTTACTTCCTCTGATGTTAGTTCATGGTGTCTCCTCCTTAGCAAGTATGAAGATTCTATAGTCATGAAGATTCGATAATTACGTCTGTGAGAGAGAGACACACACATGTATATAGTCTCTTATTTATAAGCTATTTTGCTATTGTTTCAATTATTCCCACCTCATGGCTCCCTAGTTCTTATTAGATTTTAGGCTAGCTTATTTGTACCTATGAGACACCTAGTATGCCACTTGAGCAGAAATATCTAGGTACCTTTCAAACAGTCAGCTTAATCAGTCCACCAGTCAAAAACCTTGTCACTTCCACTCCTGTTGTTGGAAACCTTAGGAATAGGAAATAGCTACCAAAATTTCTTCTGGATACAGAAAATTCAAGTTGTAGTAAAAAAGAAACAAACAAAAAAAACTAGATGCTGCAAATTTGTTTGCCATTCAGAAGATCTTGTGATTGCAATTAAAAGGAAGTGTCTCTGCAGTCTCCTCATTGAATGGTCTCCAATGGGAAAAATGAATTCCAGGGGCACTGAGGGGCAGGCAGCTAACACATGAGGGAAGTGAACCAGCTAAGTTCTGTAGTAAACTCAGCTATGCGTGACCCTCCTAAAACAGCAACGGCCTCTTCTCTCTCCCCAACTGTTGCCAATGATTTAGGTTGCCACTTAACCCAGTATTTTTAAGCAAAGCTAGAATCTATACATTTTGTGGGAAATGGCTCACCTTTCTTTGAAAAATAAAATCCATCTGTGCTTTTGGTCCATTTGTTGTGAAAAACTGCCAGGTTGCAACTGGTATTCTACAGTGATAACTAAAATGAGAAACAAACACCTCCCTGCTGGTGCTGTGCTCATTCTCTTTGTTCAGAAAAATCTGCTTCCTACTTGTATTTCAACATAAAATCTGTTTGCTTTTTTGTATGAGGATGTGGCTGCTATAACATCTTTAGCTAAGTGGTAGAACACATTTGGAGGTACACTGAAAACCAAGAGCCTGTGAATGATCTGAATTCATGTTTCCATGAAATTGTCTTTACCATGATGAAATGAGAGGAAGACACAATGTTAGATTCTCTTTGAGTTAGTGTTTCCTTTAAAAACACTACTTTTTTTTTGCCTCCGTGGAAAGAAGAATGAGAACACATTTATAATTTTGTTTCTTGAACGTTAAAAGATCACTTTCATGGACAGGGGTAAGGGAACAAGTGACGACTTCATAGATTTAGGGTTTCCTTTTTGGCATGATACAAATGTTCTAGAATTTGATAGTGATGGTGATTGTATATCTTTTTGAATGCCCTGGAACTCACTGAATTATATACTTTGAAATAGTTAAAATGGTGAATTTTATGTTATATGAACTTTAACCTCATTTAAACAACAACAAAAAAGATGCTCTCTATAAGGCCAAAATCATGTTTATTGTTAGAGGGGACATGTGGTATCATATGAGGGTGCCACATTTTGTTCTGTTTTCTAAAAAGATGACTATTTCTCAAGCTCATATAATTCCTAATTTCTCTAGTATTCAACCTAAAATTTCTTTACTGATATTTTAAAGTGTTTATTTAAACATTTCTTTGTGCTGTCGATTGATGCACCCTCACCATTCATATATGGAAACCCTAACCACTAATGTGCCACAAAATTTGGAGATAGGACTTTTAGGAGTGGTGTCACTTGTACAGGTAATTTGATTGTGTCTCTCAAGATTCATATTTTAGAAGCTTCATTTTGAGAGAGAGAGAGAGAGAGAGAGAGAGAGAGAGAGAGAGAGAGAGAGAGAGAGAGGATATATATAGACATGCACCCAGGAAAGGCTATGTGAACAAATAGTGAGGTTATGTCTCTAAAGCCCTTACCACAACTCTGCTGTGTAAAGACCCTGATCTCAGACTTTCAGCCTCCATAACTCTAAGAAAATAACTCTGTTGGTTAAACCATCAGTTTGTAGTATTTTTAAAATTAATTTTGTTTGTACATTTTAAGTATATGATATAATGACACTCATCATTGGAAATTTGTACCTTTACATAATCTCTCTTGGTTCTTATTTTTTCCCCATTCCCCTGCCCTCCCTTCAAACCCTCCACCCCTCCCTATTTACAAAGACTTTGTTTCCAAAGACATTGTCTTGTATTAATTCCATTCCCTTCTCATGGCACAGTTTGGGAACAGCCCAATTGCCCATCAACTGGAGACTAGATAAAGAAAATGTGTTTTTTTAATAAAATGGAGTACTACTCAGCCATAAAGAATGAGAAATTAGAGACATCTATAGCTAAATGGACTCACATTGAGATGATACTCTTAAGTGAAATAAATGGGACACACATGTGTAAATACTGAATAGTTTCTCTAGTGTGAGAAACTGAAAGTGTAAATAAGGACTAAAAGGCATAATAGATAATGTGAAATAGGAAGAAAAGGGGCAAAAAGGAATGGAATGTAGTATTTTTTTATAGAAGCCCAAGCTAAACTGAAAAGTTAGTTGAGAATTAACCATTATTCTCTTTCTAAAAACTCCTACCTAAGTGTCCATAAAGAAACATACAAAAGAGCTTCATATTTCAAGGCAATGTAGTATATCCAAATTTTGCAGGGAGTAGCTATGTGCTGCATTCTTCTGTAGTATAAGTTGTGCCATTGGTACATGCAAGAAAATTTTTTTGTAAGTCTACATGTTGCTAAGCACTTTTGTTGTTCTCCTTGTACTCTGGTCTCTAGAACTCATTCCTGTCCTGGGGTGTGAGGAAGGGAACACTGTACCATGCAGAGAACTTCAGTGGGCCTTCGTGTAACTGGGAGGACATATTCTCTATTCCTTTACAATGAAGCAGGTACACACATTAATTTGTCTCTTAAAACTACTTCCCTTGAATACATAATAATAACTGACTTATACAATTTCATGTAAAATGTCACTTTACCAGTTTCCCTGTTGAATCATCAAGCTGAGTAAAATTATGAGTTCCTTGCCTAGACTAAGCTTTTAAAAAGATAAGATTTATACACTGTATTTATATACTGTAATATAAGCTGAAACAGTTCCTATTCAGTAATTCATTAAGTAAAATGGAAACAGTCTTTTAAAATTTAAATGGAAAGTCTTTTTAAATTTTATTTTTTAATTTAAATTTTGATAGATACTATATTCCCATGGACCTAATATCAAAAATATGAAGAATACACATTGAATATTCTCATTTTCAACATTCTCTCCTCTTGGGAACACATTTCTGTTCTTTCAGATAATCATTTGGAGTCATTTCTTTGTATCTTTCCAGAGCAGTGTTTCTCAGCCTTTTTTTCATTAATATTTCCTTTGAGTCTTTGAAAATATATTTTCCTTATTATTTCCACTCTCTTCATGTTAATGCACAGATAGACATCTGCTTTGCACTCTAGGTATTCTGTGCTTTATGGACAAAACAGATGAGAGGACCCCCTACCAAAGAGCAGATTTTTACAACCTTAAAGGTTGGGTCACCTCACAGAGCATGTGTGTTTCAGGTACATCTTTGCATATGCATTTATATTCATGCAATATCATTCAGTTAAAAAAAAGAAAAGCACAGAGCACAGGGTGCTTTTTAAATAATAATTTTTGAGTAATATTTCTGTAACTTTACATTAAAAATATCCCCATCTATTTTCATGTATACACAGACTTCTGGGTTACAAATTTAAGTTAATTAACTTATCCAGTATCACAATAATTACATTTAATCCTTTTTTTGTGTATATAACATGTTGCAGTGAATAGAATTGTACATGTCAAATACTGAGGTCTGTGGTAAATCAAAATGCTGTGATTTCTTTCACAGTTCTCCTTCAAGAAGTATAGTCTAATGCCCCTTTCCTTGAATTTTTGTGAACTCTATGACTGTTTGAACAATAGAATACAGTAGAAATAATATTGTACTAGTTTCTGGGCCCAGACCTTGAGACTTCCTATATTTTGAAACACTCACTATTGATAGCTTGCTAGATGTCAAGGTATGAGGATGGCCAAAGAGTCCTGATGAAGAATAGAATCCCAGATGGCAGCCCCAAAAGAAATTCTAGCCAAGAGTGAGCACTAGCTTACTGGTTATGTATATGAGCCATCTTGGAAAGGATAACGGGAATTAAGTCTTATGTTATACAACTGCTCTTCTCTATTTGATATTATTATGACTGACTCTTGAAATACACACTTTCTCTTGATTCAGTGGCATTATATTTTTGTAGTTTTTCTGCCAATTATTTCCCTACAGTCCTTCATCTCCCATCATCTCGAAATTGTTGCCCTAAGTGAAGAGAACACCACTCTGGAATTTTGCTTTGGTGGGGTGGAGTTGCACAGCTGGTCTTCCTGTACCCTCTGTCATACATCAGAGAGGCCCGTGACTTCCTTTTCTTGAACATTGAAGTAGGTGCTCACACTTAGCTGACTTCCCTGATATCAAACTTATATCCTTGGAAATATTTCAGTGACATGCTGTTTTCTGCACCAGTACACACTGTCACCTGTTAATCTACCTACTGTTTCACAGATCTGCACACTTTTTATATGGATAATCACACAGACAATTCCTGGAATCAAATGTCATTGTGACTATGCTCAGGGGGTTTAACCCTTATCCAAAATACAGACATGTCACCAAATATAATTTCTAAGCAAATCCATTCCTAATGATCCTTTTATACAAAATATTGCACTTAGTTATTTGCTTGTATGTGACTTAATTCATTTTCTACTGACAAAAATAAGTATATTCCAAAAATATACTCAGAATTTCTTGAAAATAGGTAGTTTTTTTCTTAGATATAAAAAATAAATTAACTCCTTAGAAAAATATAAAAATATAATAAGAACGCTAAAAAGGCAAATAAGAAAATTATCATGTATAGATGTACCATATCATTTATTTCAATTTTTACATGATATTTGACTGACACAATGACTTGTATATTATGTACTACATATATTAGAACTGTAAAAACTATAGAAAATTTCTGGGCTCTCTTTTGTGAGAAGCTTTTTATAAGACATTGAGAATTTTACTGGGTAACATGATTAGGATTATCTTCAATCAGTTGTTTTCA